CTTTATATAATGCAGAGCTACTCGCTATAGAGAAGGATAATCTCAAGGTTCTTGGAGGTAAATGCATGCAACTTGAGATCATGCTCTTGGTTTGGACTCAGGAGGGTGAACATTGTGTTGTCTCCTTACTATAAAAAACTGAGGAAACTAATGGGATCCAAAGTGTACAATAAGTACTGTGAAAGTGAAAGAGGAGGAAACAGGTAAAAGGGACAACTGGATAGGGAATAGGAAAAGATTATACATACGCATACATATACATGCAAGACAGACAATTATACTATTAATCTCTGCTAGCCCAACAAAAAGGAAGGTTGGTGCTTTCATTGTTTGATCATTTTTTCAGACACACATGTCTGGTAATCCAAACAGCTACTTTGAAAACAACAATACACATTAACCATTATTAATCCCCTAATATTCTTTTTTGAAATTCTGTATCATCGTTTTTGCTTTTTCTTTTTTGTCTTAAAATTTAAAACAGACAAGAAAACAGATATGGCAAGGGTAGGAAACCAATACCCAAGTTCACAAATGGCTGCACAGAGATGATTTCAGACCAATGCAAGATTAAGACAGGGGCTGGGGGTTTAGCTCAGCGGCATAAGCACCTGCCTTGCAAGCAGGCGGTCGTGAGTTCGATCCCCGGTACTGATAAAAATGAAAAAGACAAAAAAAAAAAAAAAAAAAAAAAAAAAAAGATTAAGACAGAACCACAGACACACAGATGGGACTTTTCCAATTCTAGTGCACATAAATCTTTAAAATTATGCACCCACGCTTCATTAATCCTTAAAGAACAAAAGTTACTATGTATTTCAAAACAAAAACAAAGATTTAAAAATATTTTCAAATACTTTTTATAATTACTTAGATATTTTGATTATGTCTTGAACATTCGGCACATACGACAAATCACAACAGAAATCTATTAATATTTTAAAGTACAAAAAGACCTAAAAAGTCACAAAAAAATTAAAGAACATTAACACTGTTAATCAAAGAAGTGACTTTGTTTCCTGGTGTCAAATCTTGTCCTCAAGGGGTCACTGGTAAAACCAGCAAATCAGGTTCAGGCCGACAAACCTGTCAGCTCCTCTCCATGCTCAAACACTCAGGGCTCAGGGTTTTAAACCTCAGTGGTCTCACCGTCACGTGCAGTTTTCTGCTTAGCAAACAAATATTACAAAGATGTAAAATCGTATCAGTTGAAGATGGTGAGACAGGCTGGGCTCTGAATGCATGGTTGTGGCTGAAGCTGCAGAAAAAGAGATGAAAGCCTTGAAATCCCTCAGCACCAGTATAAACTCCTCAAAAGCAGTGTTTCTCATCAAAAAGAATACTGCAGCCAGGAGAACATGGCGGACAGATAGCAGATACTACAGAGGCTCTCTGAAAGGCTTGGTTCAGAAGTCAGGAAGGGTGCGGAGTAAGGAGACATAAGCAGGTGGAGATATGCTCTGCTGACTCAGGAATGAACTGGGCTGAGAGAAACCAACTTGGAATGCAGTCCTGGTGCTAAAACAGGAACAGAAAAGCCTCGGTGTGGAGGCTGAAACCCGCGCCATTGGAAGCCGCGATTTGGGTTTCCCGCCGCGTGGTGGCTGGCTGCCTCTACATCGGCTCGGCAAGGAGAGAGACGCGCAGAAGCTCTGAGAACGGGAGTCTGAGAACGGAGTCGAAAACAGGACGGACAAGGAGGCGTACACTGACTTGTGGTGAGGTGAGTGAGAGAAACTGACACTCTACCACAGTTTGACTCCAGCGGAGGACTTTCTGGGCTCGGGCAGTCCTGCAGGAGCAGGGCGTGGTGGCGACTCCAGCCACACATTCCCTCTCGGACGGGATTGGTGAAAAGTGCCTGGCCTGCGTGACGCTACTGGCGGAATCCGTAGGCTAGCCCAACCCAGATCCCAGAGCCAGACGGTGGCCCGGAGGGGTGACTCTCGTGTAGGCTGCCTAGTCCGTAACTCCCTGGTGCACTGCGGTGGGCGGGAACACCTAGCCAGCGCAATTCGATCAGGCTGTGGCTGACAGGGAGGGAAGCTGGGCCTCCTATGTAAGCTTGCATATATAAGGAACAGAGAATATGGGAAAAGGCAGCAACAAGAAAGGCTCCTCGGCCCCCAATTCTGAGAAACAGGCAATAGCGGACACCACACCAATAGACATAAAGCGCCATATAGAGAGCCTCATAGACCAATTCAGGAATAAAGTTATCAACGACCTGAAGCTAGAAGTATGCAGAATAGTTAGAGAAATGCTAAGCACCACCCAGGAAAAAACAGATGGTGGAATGGAAGAACAGAAAAAGAGGGGAGAATTGTTTGATGGAGAAAACAGAGAAAGCATAGAGTACGTGAAGCAGGTTCAAAGGGACTATCAAGAAACTAAGAAGTCTATCAAAGACTGGCATAACAGCTTGAAAGAAACTAAGGACAGACTATCTGAACTGGAGGGCAGACTTGTAATATGGGAGAATGAAATGAAAAACTTCTTAAAAATAACAAAGAAACAAACAGCAATAATACAAAGACAAGAAGATGATAAGAGGAGCCATAACTTAAGGATTAAGAACATAAAAGAAGAAGTAGGGACACAAACAAGTGAACTACAAAAGCTACTCACAGAAATAATCCAGGAGAATTTTCCTAATTTAGCAAAAGGTAAAGATACTCAGATGTATGAGGCATACAGGACCCCAGCTACCTACAACCCAAACAGGGCAACACCCAGGCATATAATAATAAAAATTCCAGAAATTCAATAAAAGAACAGAATATTAAAAGCTGTCAGAGACAAGAAACAGACCACTTACAAGGGAACACCCATCAGAATTACAGCAGATTTCTCTGCACAAACCATCAAATCACGAAGAGTGTGGGGGGAAATAATTCAAGCTTTGAAAGATAATAATCTCCAGCCAAGATTGAGATATCCTGCACAACTGTCCCTGGAAATTGATGGAAAAACAAGGTGCTTCCAGGATAAAGAGGAACTGGGGGAATTTGCAACCACCAATTTAACTCTACAGAAAGTATTGCAGGATATTCTAAAAAAAGAAAAATACAAAGAACCCAGAAATAGTGGCGGGGAGGCCACAACGAATGGAGCAGAGAACAAAATGAAGAAGACAAACTGACAGCTACTGACAGAAAAAGAGCTCAACAGAAATGAGACAGAGAAGATTGGATGATAGGAACAGCTATTTTGGAGAAAATGACTTCTTAATAGGTAATACTGATTTAGTATCATCTTGTTTTGAAGTCTCATCTAGCTTTTGTTCTTCTGTCTCCAATGGTCTAAATAGGTTGTATCTTATTGGATTTTATTATGTACGATAGTATAAGCAAAAACCTTTTAAAGACAAGGAGATTATACAGAAACCATTGTTCATTTTCTGTTAGTCGATTCTAAATACTCTGTAATGCTGTCATTCTCTTAAATGGTTTTACATTGTTTTGATATACTTAATGCTACAGTATATGAAGTTGTACTCAAGGACTTCAAGGAAAGAGTCAATATGGTAACTACTTTTGGGTCGGAATTATCTGGTGGTGAAACACTATTCTGCTTAAATGGTTATGTTTTGATCTGCGCTGTTTCGCTGTTATGCCCTTTTATCCCAATCTCCACTCCATTATTTACTTTTTTATTTTTATCCGTTTAATTAAAGGGAAAAAAATAGCAGGATATATTATAGTAACCCACTTTGACTTTCTATTATCTTGATTTGAAGCCCTGTATTACTCTCACCATCTTATTTTTGACTGATGTTCCCCTATTCTGTTTTGCTGGATAGTATCAGGTTCGAAAGTCTAGGCATCAGCTGTGAAGATAATGAGATTCATTATAACGCCCATTCTCGTTGACTTTTATCTACTTTTGAAGACCTACAATGTCTCCAATGGTTTGGTTTTGTCGGTTTTGTTCTTTACTGTTTTGTTCAATTGTATTATAACTAATGATATAGGCAATTCTATTAGAGATAGCGGGAGGCATTATGGTAACCACTGTTGATCACCTTGTATTATGTTTTTACATTATCTATCATGTCCACCCTTTTGACTTGACCGATTCTGTTCTGTTATGTCACATTTGGTTTTACTCTCTTCCAAAAAATCAATAAGAACCATGGGAGCAATGAAACCCAAAATGTGTAATAGTCATTGTACAAAAGAGAGGAAAAGAAAGTGCTCTAAACTATATAACTGCATGTATATTTAAGTGTATAAGATAGAAAATGATATCACAGAGTTTTATTGGATCACTGAACAGAACTGTTTGCAGTATCATTGTTGGAATGTCCACTCTTCAAGCTTTAATTTTGTGACTTGAACAATTATTTCTAAGATGGCAATATGTAATCCATTAACTAGTGATTTCCTACTGTTCATTTTTTTTCTGTAAATCTGTATAACTTGTACCCTTTCACTGTTTTTTTTTCTTTTCTCCTTAAATAAAATTAAAAAAAAAAAAAAGAATACTGCAGAGCATGAAATATTTTAGAAGCCAGAAAATAGGGTGAACTCAAAATGCTGTGATTAAGATCTAAGGGGCAAGAGCCAAAGAGGAAATCTGGGGAGCTGGACCTGTGCAGGGGACATGGGGAGAGGTGTCCCTTGAAGCAGGGGGAAAACTCCTGGGGGCAAGTCCACTGGGGATTGCAGAAGAGCAGTCCCAGAAAAGCCCTGCCTGGGGGCAGCTCTAGAGCCTCCATGTGGGCCCAAGAATACCTGCTCCCCACTGTCCTCCTGAGGCTCCCTGGGGAGCCGATGGGTGTCACGGTGGCGAGCGGTGACCCCCATCCGCTCCCCACAGCACACACTGCAGATATGTGCTCCCCTGTGGGTCTGTCAGATGGCATTTCACTGACTAAACCAAGTTATTTTATTATTTTGCTTCTAAATATTTAAGTTAGAAAGCAAAAGCAACCTGCCTAGTGAAGAATTCACTGAAGCGGACAGTTACTAAGCACCACTGCGGAGCACAGGCCTCACCTGGGTGAAGGACGAGTCGCTGTCGGAGCAATTGTCTGTGCAGTAGCTGCTGCTCTGCTCCCTGTGGCTTCTCTTCTGCTGCTCTGGACATCGCGTCTCTTCTTCCTCCTCAAACCTGTTACTCATATACTCTACCGCCGCGGTCATGACGGCCTTCAGGGAATGCATCATCTCTTTATACCTTCAAGTCAAAGCAGTCTTAGTAAGGGAACACCGTCAGCCAAAACCAGTCAACGAAGCTGAATTACATGATTCTTCCCTTTAATGACACAGTGCTGAAGAAAAACCTAATTAGTGTTTCTTAAACAATGGTTACAAGGCTGGGGATACAGCTCAGCAGCACAGAGCCTGTCTGGTAAGCACAAGGTCCTGAGTTTGATTCCCAGTACCAAAAAATTAAATAAAATAAAATAAGGTTACACTAGAACTATGAGACAGGAATAAAAATGAATAGGAAACCAGGAAACATTGCCTTTCCTGCGTTGCTTTTGTTTACACACTCAAAGCAGTAAGAACAACAGGATCTAAGGCTAGGTGTCTCCAAGGTGTGCGTTCTACCCCAGCATAGAAACCAGCTATGACTATCATACAACCAAAAGCCAGGCTACTGTGCTCTGCTTCACCTCTTGTCCTGGGTCCATCTCTTTCCCCACCCTCCCTTCCTCACATTTGGTTTTTTTTTCTTCCCTGTCTATGCTTCACAGCAACAGGCCCCAGCGGCCCCAGCCAACAACCCTGCTGGCCACACTGGAAACCATGCATGAGCGGCAGGCTCTAAGCATGGGCCCTAAGTGGGATAGCCCATAACCAGGAAGGACAGATTATACCAAGATCTCCAAAAGAATTAGAAATACAATGTTAGATTTAGCACGGGTCATAAAATGTAGTGCTTTTATTTTACCAACAAGAAAGATGGGAACTGGACCACTGATATCTCTGTATTTAAAATTAAAAAGACATAAAAATTTAAATACCCATAGCTAATAGAGTACTAAATTTAAAATTATAATCCTGGATTATAATCGTACTTACCAATTCCGTCATCATAAATTAAATCTCAATTTTCTCAACTATAAAATGAGATAGAAAAAGTACAACCTAGCTAAATTATATTGTAATGGCTATAGAAATAAATAGTTATAAATATCTGGAAAAACTGTGTAACTACAAAGCCCCATGGGTGTGTTTGTTACAGGAGATGCACTGCGGAAACAAGCACAGAAACACCTTTCTTTCCCTTTCTGGGCGATGGGTCATTGGAACCTCCTGTGTCAAGGACAGGCCTTCCTCACACACGCCACTGACACCAGGCCTGGGGATTAGAGAGAAGTGGGTCAAACCCCATGGTTCTACACACACCAGGTGCGCGTTCAGCTGCATTCCCAACCCCTGGCTGAAAATTAAAGGACAGGCTTCCCCCCAGCCAGCACTACCAAAAAGCCAGGGCACCTTAGAAGCCTGATGGGAGGTCAGAGTCTGCAGGGGCGCAGTCTGCAGGGCATTGCCCTTGGCACCTGCCCTGGCTGCACAAGTGTCCTTAGCACCTGCTTCCACTACATACGTGGCCTCCACCCAGCCCCAGAACAGCAGGACTGACGCAGTGGGACCCGAAGCCTCTAGAAAGGGAGCCCAGCCAAGCTCTCCTCTTGCCAAATTCATCCCCTCGGGTCCTGCTCCCTTGGCAGAAAGTGGGCCACTCCCATACTGAGCTATGTGCCTCATGTGCCACATGTAACTGAAAATATGTTCTTCTGTGTAATGTATTTAACAACATCAACCTACTGTCACTGCAACAGTAAGCAGACACATCAAAACGACATCTGGGGATGGAGGCAGATTTGTTTCATGTCAACAGGCACTGACAGGGAATCAATTGTCCCTCAAAATGTCAGGCTTGCAGTCCCAAGAAGAGAGGTATTTACGAGGTCTGCAAGCAGTGGTACAGAATGTGGCTGCTTGTGCTTGGTTCTGACAATATGCATCACCATGACCAGCCTGTTTCTCGGAGACAGTAGTAACAGGAATTGTAACAGGAACTATTGAAATCTCAATATTATATACTGTAATCCAAATACTGCATATTATAATCCTTTTCCCACTTGCCCCGTAATCTAGGAAGTTATATTTATAATCCCATAGAAACCTTATTAGAATGCCAGTGAGTTAATTCCAATCTACCACTTCCAATGTAACCCACAGAAAAAGTAAAGACACTAAGACATATTCAAAGTTACAGGGAGCCAAGGGGTCTTAAGCCCAATCACACTGAGGATATGCAGACAAAGACCTTGATCCAAGGCCTCCCCAGAATCTATTATCTTGTGAAGAAGAGAATGGTTCAAGGATATGTGACAGGGAGGATGGCAAGAACTACATGAGTGACCTAAGATGGCCAGGTGAGGACAAAAGCATTTTTGGAATATGCAGGGAGAATGATATGCAGAAGGACCAGTATACATAACTCAATTGAGGTATCATTTGAATGGTTTTAGAAAGCTGTTGCTTCAGTTTCTGATATGTAAACTTTTTTTTTTTGTCTTTTTCCTTTTTTTTTATCGGTACCCGGGATCAAACTCGTGACCGCCTGCTTGCAAGGCAGGTGCTTATGCCGCTGAGCTAAATCCCCACCCCCCCTGATATGTAAACTTTTGTGCCCTGGGGAGTCATAGCCTCTTACTTTGAGGCTTGTACCCAGCTGACATTCCTGGAGCTGAGTGGCTCTGCCATCCTACTGTGCTCAATCTTGTATAGAGAGTACTATGTGAAGAAACAGAAAGGTGTCAGTTGGCCTCTGGAATTATACACCAGTACCTTAGCTGGTCCTATTTGCATCGCTTTGAGCCAACTGAAGGGAGAAGGAAACAGCTTGGCCCACTCTGTACATATCAGTGTATGGAAATAAGCCTCGATTTAACCAATGTCGCAGCAACAGTTCTGCATTCATCTTCTGTAAGGGACTGTTACCTGGGCAACTAACAGACTGGCTGGGGGGCATTTGCTGCTATACCACTATAAAGTTATATACATATGCTTTACACATATGGACACAGTAAATTACCAGAAATCATAAGAAAAGACAATATTGAATACTGAAGGTGAGCACGGATAGAGCAGGAGCAGCCAAGCTGGAAAAGACACAGAGTAGATGTGCAACAGAGTGACAGCGAGCTCAGGAAGAGCTCAGGAAGACCTTGACGTACAGCAAAGGGACACAGCCGCAGGGCAGCCTGAACACTGACTGCATAGATCTGCAAAGGATGACGTACAGCATCACAGAGCCCTGGGGCCTGGCCTCCTCGGCTACGGACCTGAGCTCGAGGGACAGGGACATGGCATGGCAGCATCTGGGCTGCAGCAGCCTCCTGGAGCGATGTACAGGTGAACAGAGCCCCTCCCCTTAAAACTTAGGACACCTTGCAATACACACGCTTCTTCATTAAATAATGCAAGTAACACAGTATGAGAGCGAGGATAACCCAAAGTCCCACAACAGCTGAGATCTGAGTTGGACAACAGTGTTAATAACCTTTTTGGGAAGACCACCATGAGTTCTTCTCTAAACAGTGTCAACAGAAATGACTACAGGAACAGAATAATAATTGCCACAATTATATTAAACAAAGATTCAGAGCACCAGTCCGTCAAAATCAAGAGTTGAATGAACTAGAATTCAAAACCAGCTATTGCAGTTCTGAAAAAGGAAGGGTAGGCACAGCCTCCATAGCTCGCTGAATCCGCCAGCAAGCACTAAAGCAACAGAAACTAAGAGCTCGGATGACAGACCCTGCGGACAGGAACCGGACAGCACCCACACTCCCACTCACGGAGGAGTAACAGCAAATCCTGCTGTGTGTAAACATCTACTTAAAAGATAAACACCAAGGCACATGGGAGGAAAAGACTTTGTAACTATTACACTATTATTAAAATACTGCTAATACTGTTAATAGATGCAATGTGGCCCCATTAGCCCCAAGTAATTCCTGAAGAATCACAAAAAATGGAAAGAAAATAATATTCTGTATAATTTAAAATCTTCCATCCATGATTCATAAAACAGAGGACAAACATTCATTAAGTCACTTAAAATCTTTGTGAAGAAGTTATTATTTTATTAATTTTTATACACAGATGAACTAAAACATAGGAATCAAATTGAATAGCTTACCCAGAGATTTAAAGAAAAAGGATTTCCTAGCAGTATCATATAAAACTGCTTTTATCATTAAAACACTTGCATTATCTAAATTACTTGCAAAATGTTTTAGCACTCCTTTTAGAGTACATGTAATAAGACTGCCTGAAATAGATGATGAGGAATTTTAACACTACCAAAGAGAGAGGACTCCATTTTTTTTTAAAAGAATCAAGAAATAAAAGCATCTTAATTTCAGTGGCTTTTACTTAACAGAGATTTGAACTTGCTAAATTATTGATCACTGTACACTATCATTTTGTCTAGTTAATAACATATTTGTTTAAATAATAATTGATTGTCACTAAGGGAAAAACTGCTGGCCAAAGTAATTTATAAATAAATTCAATTTAATGCTTTAATATGCCATAGGTAACACAGTTTCTAGTGCATAGCCAAATGTCTCTGGTTCTGGGGCTGGCAAAATGTGCCCCGCAGAGCTACACAGCCTTCCTATCTCCTGGTGAAGACAAAGGTCTGCGGGCACAGAGTCTCTCTCCTTCCCGGGTCACCCGAGGCTGCTCTCATGCTCAGCAGTCGGCAAAGCCTCAAGGACAGCACTGGGCCTACACGGGAACCCGCTGCAGAACGGACCTGGGCATCGGGGCGCACTCCCCCAGGTTCACCCATCCCACACAGATTCTTCCGAACCACTGCGCAGGAGGAAGCTAGCTCTCCCAGACCACTGAATTCCCAGGTCTCTGTCACAGGATTCCTCACATTTCCCTGAAAACTTACATTTCTCAGGGCATTTGCCACACAGTACTGAAACTGCTTAAAGTCTCCATTTCATTTTAATGTTAAACTCCTCATTTCCCTGTGGCTTAGTGGTGGGCAGACTACTAATTCATTCATATGGCCCAAGATTGAACATGCGCCATAAAGAAGTAATTCGTTAAATGTATGATTGGTTTATAGCTGATAAGGGAAAGGGAAGAAAATCCTTTATTGCTAGAGCCAGAATTATTTCCAACATCAGCTCATCAGTAGGTTTTCCTTTGCTCTAACAAAATCCCTGAGGCTGGATACCTGGTAAAGAGCCTCAGTTTTAGAGACACAAGAACCTGCCACTGACTTCTGCAAAGCTGGTGAAGAACCTCGCTGAGTGGAGGCACATAGTGGGATGGCAAGTTGGGGGACGGACAGGACAGTCTCGCTTATTAACACAACCGTTCCGCTGGAACTAGCCAGGTGCATAGGACCTCCAGCTCCTTCTGAGCAAACCCCCTGCCCTGAGCCACCTCTGTAAGACTCTACTGCCTGTTAGCCCTACACACTGGGGACTGCGATGCCAGCAGCCTGGGACCCATGCCACACACACCACAGCACTACAGAACACACACTGCACAGCACTGGCCACTGGACATCCACTCAGCACCTAAGATGGCTCTGGCATTTATGTTCCATGCACAGGACACAGAAATAAGTAAAAGATTTAAAGGTAGACACACAGACACACACATACATCGATTAAACCATCTTTGTAAGATGGGATTCTAATGAGGAGATACTGACAACAAGCAGAAAATCAGCCAGCTCATGTGTGACCCTTTATGAATCAGCGACAAAGGAGCCAAGAGGGACAAGAAGGTCAGGGAAGAGGCAGGGCGGGAGCACAGAGATGCTGCCGCTGTGGAGAGCGGAGGGGCGCAGGCAGGCGCTGCAAAGAGCAAGCCACACTCACTCTCTGGAGTCCTGGACTCTCCTGGTGACCTGCTGCACCACCGTATCGTAGCCCGGCTCCTCGCCCCGATTCTGGTCAGAAGTGCACTTTTCCATTTCTTCTTCGATCATTGACCCCAGAGTGTTGCAGATGTGCTGTCTCAGGTATTTAACGAATTCATAGCTGGAACAAATATTTAAAGATAAATGCAGTAAGTGGTACGAATTCGCTTATTAGCCACACTCAGAAGAAACATTAGGCCAAAAATCCATTGAGATTCCTAACCTTAAACCAAGACCACACTGGCTTAGTCATCCGCACTCCTCAAGGTTCCCCAAGCTTTCGCTTTGCAACTTCTACCTCTTGGGGCCCTTGGCAAAGGGGACTCCTCAGAGCTGGGGATGGAGGGGACAGGACAGGGATGCCAAAGCTCCCAGGGCAACAGGGAGCTTCTGCACTCCCATCTGTGTGACTCCAAAGGGTGCAGAAAGAATTCTTAGGGAATTTTGTTATCACTCAGGCTAATGAGGGAAAACAAGCCAGGTCACAGTATGCAGCAGGAAAGGGGTGAGTTTCCATCACCAGAAGCGTTTCTGTGTAAATGGTTCTTGTTTATGGTTGCAGACAGAAGTGGCTCAGAAAATTCAATATATTGGATATTTTTTTCATAGGGTGATACTAATATTAAAATTAGCTTACAAACTCAGACAATAAGAGAACTAAATGTTCCACCAAGTGACTAATCATTTTATGAAGCATATTCACTGAAATTGAAGGGTAGAAAGTATAACTTAGTAACACGATTTAAACATGGCCCCCTAAATGACAACTGTAATTTAGAATAGGTAATTTTTATATCTCAACAGAGAAGGCATCCAGCTGAAAAAAACGCACTGCGTGCAGGGCAGGAGGTCTGAATGGCCTGGGAGATGCCCATTCACATCTTCAGTCCCCAGGAAATGATGCAGCCTCCTTCCAGGGAGGGAGCGCTGCCTTCGCTGCAGCCCAGGGCCTCATTCCATCGTGCTGCTTCCCACAGACTCCTGCTTCTCCTCGCCACTCAGCACCTCTGCTCCCAGAGCCCCAGAACCACAGGCCTCTGCCACTCAGAGGAGACCTTGACCAAAGACTCAGTGGGAAGACAGAAGTTGGACAGGACTCACAGGCCTGACCTGGGCCCTGGCTCCCCACTTCCTAGCAGCGCACCCCTGGGCAGTGGCAGTTTCCTCATCTGTAATCTGGACATCCTGTCTACTTGGTCTCATTATCTGCAAGAACTCAAGAGGCTATGGACAAGGTACTTGGACTATGTGGCTTCCAGAAAAAGGAAAAGGCTGCCAGACACACTCTGCACGGAGTTTCAACCTCCGATTCAGCACAGAAGAGGCATCTCCTGGGCTCTTCCTGCTGCCCAAACCTGTCCTCCCTGGGAACAGGCGGTCCAGGCCACTTTGCGCTCCTTCTCCTCATCAGGGTGGCATAATCCAGGCCAAAGCTCCTATGTCACCTCTGCTCATGCATGCACCTCCTGCCTCTGCCCTGCACTCCTCAGATAAGGAACTGTCCTTCCGACATCCAGCTGGGCATGTCTTGTGTGGTTATATGATCTAATTCTGCCTTGGGTGTAGTTATGTGATCTACTTCCTGCCATGTATAGTTACATGATTTCTACCTTGTGTGGTTATTTGACCTACTTCCTGTTTTGTGTGTAGCTATATGACCTACTTCCTGTCTCATGTGTAGCTGTATGACCTACTTCCTGTCTCTTGTGTAGTTACTACTTCCCGTTGTGTGTAGTTATAGGATCTACTTTATTGTCTACCTGGCTTCTGACCCCAGTAGACCCAGATTTTGTAAAACTAACACTAAATAATCAACCCACAGTAATCACTATTTCCATGAACCTAAACTGTCATATTCTTTCTGCATTTAACAAGATAATCTCACAGGCCTGCATGACACTCTCAGAACCTTATATGTAGTAGGGACGTAATTAATACTTGGATCAAAATACAGCTGAAAGTACAGCTATAGGTAAATAGTGGCAAACAGTCAGGGATTTGGTTTGGAACTGGAGCCGCAGGATTCGATTCTGGAGTTTGAGTACTGAGGAGGAAAGTCAGGAACAAAGGGAGGAGTAAGGCCAGGCGTGGAGGGACTGGAGTGTTCAGGTTAGGGCAATATTCCAGATGGTTCTGTTAGCCAGGTTGTTGCCCCAAGTTAAGAGATAGGATCCTTTCTGGCGAGAAAAGCAGCAGAGCAGACAACCTGTGGAGAGGCTGCTCCTGGACAAGCACATGTGAGGAGCCGAGTTTGCCATGGGTGACCCTGCGGGAGGCAGCTGGTCACCAGAGCTGACATGCGTGGTGATGCCAGGGGGTTGAGTGGAAGCTGGGTGTCAGGGTGAGGACTGTCTAGCCTGTCAGGTGCAGTCGAAGATCAGTTATATTTCTGGAGTCAGAGATGATAGCACACGCAGACACCCAGGGGAAAAAGGCAGAGCAGTGGGCTGGGGGAGACACATCTGACGGATGCTGGGAAAGCAATTGAGGTCTTGGTGCACAATTTGTAGGCAGTCGTGGGACCAGTTGTGACCAAGTGACAGGTCTGGTAAGGGCAGGAGAGTAACCAGGTTGAGGGAAATTGCTTTACCAAGGTCACACAGGATGTAAGAGGAGGGCCTGTGGACCTGTTGGGTCTTGGATGAGAGGAGCCCTGAGCTTTGAGGAATAAGAGGTCAGTGCGAGTGGGTGCTGTGAACAGGAGGGGGCTGGAATGAGGGAAGTTTGTTCTTCTAGGGTGATGAGAGTCCCCACGAAGGCCGTGGGGTGGGCTGGAAAGACAGACTCTAGGTTGACCCACTCAAACACCCAGTGCTGTGTGCAGGTGCTCAGGTGTGCAGAGGACAAAAGGGCGGAGAGGCTAGGAGGGGAGCAGGTATGGGGAGGCCCTAACAGCTGGAAAGGTCCCTAACAGCCACGGTTAGGAAGGGGTCCCTCCACCAACTCCTACCCTACCTCCATCCACCAAGGCACCGATTACACCCAAAAGTTATCCTCACTCCTCAGTTTTATCAGCTCCATCTCTGTGACAGAAGCCAGGAAATCAGGAAAAACAATTTTAATTGAGAAATAGAATTTTTATGTAAGCTCTGTTACAAAGCCCAACCAAAAAATAACAGAAATGGTATTTTTATAATTGTAGCAGTTAAGAAATAACACAAGCTCATTAGTAAAATATATTCAATCAGGTTAAGAGAATATCATTTTAGGGCTGGGGATTTAGCTCAGGGCATAAGTACCTGCCTTGCAAGCAGGTGGTCATGAGTTCGGTCCCCGGTACGGATAAAAAGTTAAAAAAAAAAAAAAAAGTGCCAGCCTGAGGATATCATTTTAAATAAGACACATTTTAAAAAAATCTACCATTTCACAGTAGCTGTAAACAGCAATTGTGCAAGAAAATAATTTAAATCTACTCTTTGGGAACTCACATAACCAAATGTTTTTCTAATAACATCCATTTTATCTATGATGACAACAGTATCTCCCAGGAAACTTACTCCAAACATTTCAAGGTTTTGGTTTATCTTTCGAGTTAAATGAACCCAAGGGCCCTATTAACCCTACCAGGTTAGTGCTACTTTGAGATCTTAAATAATAAATAATAATAAAAATCTCTTCCAGTATGGAAAGTCCTTTATCATGTTGGGACTTCCAGGCTGCCGGGCTCCTGGTGGCTCTGGGCTGACAGCCATAGATCCCAAATGAAGGAACCCAGCCCTTCAAGTGGCCCTTCTATTCCTCAAGTGAAACTGACTACATCAGTCTGTGTTGCAACTCACCTTGTGCAAATTCACAATAGGTCCCCCAAATTCCTAGAAGTCATTTTGTTCTTCTAAAACTACCCAGCATGGAAAATCATTATTGTCACGGGGCTGGGAAAAACAGTTCTATGAAGTCAGGCACTGTGTGGCCTGCACTGCAATCTGCAGTGTGACAGCCACTTTCTAGGATTGACAAAGTCCACACTTAACCCAGAAGGTCAAAGGGACCACAGGTTCTTACATGAAATAGTCCTGCTGCAGCACTTTATGAAATTAAGATTTTCTGGAAGATAAACAGTTGACTTATTTTGTCTACAAGTAAAGCCCTAGCTGCTGAAAGCGCCTCCCAAAAGCCATCCTGTAAGTCATGGCAGGCCCTGGAAAGGTAGGTACTGTCCAGGGCGCCCCAGCCTGGGGGTAGGCTTTCACATGGCCCCTGTGTCGAGCCCTGCAGGAGCACAAGCCCACTGTTAATCCTTCGGTGTTCTCAGAAAAGCTCCAAAACTGACTTTTCGGACGCTAACCCCCAAGTTTTAATTATTGCTTTTATTCTTTTTAAATCTAGCCAAAAAAACGCATCCACAGAGCAGACCAGGGCCTCTCCACACTCACACCCCAAGCATTACAAACCCAGACCACAAGGTGCTAGAGAACCAGCTGGTTGTTTTATTTAAGAAATACAAACTTCCTTCAAAGCTCCGTATCACCCTCTTTTTCTACGTACACCTTCCTGGTTGAACTGAAATCTGCTGCACCACAGTGAGGCCCTCTCCCTCAGACCCTTCTGCACTAACACTTCCAGACACAGGACGCCTGATGGTCAGAGAAAGACAAAGCCTGTGACAAATAAGGGCCACAGGGCTTTGCTGTGGATTGTAAAACACAACTCCCCCCTCCTCCTCTGTTAACTAAAGTCTGTGGATACTGCTCAGTCTCCATTTTTCCACAATTGGGATTGCTGTATCTCACGTCCAGGACTTTTGGCTAAGGTGGCATGTAAGACTACTGTAACTTACTGAAGACATGATGTGGACAATGAATAAACAAGTTTATAACTGTTACCCTTCTAGAAATCTGGGAACCAAATCTGCCTGAGATGTAAGTTCCAGGTCTTCACTGACCAATCCCACACCCTTAGGGAAAACACCCGGCCCTGCTCAACTACAGCTTCATACTAAAGGTGAGCACAACCCGTGAAAACAGCTCTCACTACACAGAGCAGTTTCGTTACTCTGACATTTATCTCACCACTATTTTATTATTAAATTTTATTAACACATGTATTTTATTAAAAGTAACAATGAGAAGAAAATAAAATTTGATTTCAATGATGTTACTGCCAAATCAAGCAAATCTATCTTTTCAACATATTCCTCCAGGGGTAAGGATGTTGTTCAGCACGTGTTTAGCTAGCACAAGATCCAGGGTTCAATGCCTGCCACCAACAAACAAAAAAAGAAAGAAAGATAAATCCTCAAAGCCAGACACTTAAACCTTACTTGCTAATAAGGAAAGCTAAGAACATCACCACCCGTCAGAAGCAACTCCTTTGAAATACACAGTCTATGCCTGGAATTTCTTTACTGGTGAGAATGAAATTTTTCACATTCACATAGGACAATTTTACCAAGTTGGATAAAAGAACATTCATTTTTCCATTCTTTCTTCTCCAGCTTTATTATCTACATTTTCCAAGAAAGTGTAATGACTATTTTTCCATGATGAATTTCTGGCATGCCCACAATGTTAACAAAATATGCAGATACAGAGATGATTATTATAACACAAAGACATGGAAGACCTAATTAGTACAAGTTTATTTCAAGAAAACATCTTTATAGTTGTTTAAATAACCAATAAATACTTAAATGATCTACTTAAAAATTATCACTAAAGATGTTTTAAAATTATCTTACTAGTATAAATTATGAATTGTAATGCTGACACTGGAAACAAGTGTGATGTCACACATCTGTTAACCCAGCATTCTGGGATGCTAAGGCAGGAGGATCACAGGGTCAAGCCCAGCCTGGAAAGTCAGCAAGACTGTCTCAAAGTTTTAAAATTAACAATGGGCTGGGGATGTAGCTCAGGGCAAAGTCCTTGGGTTCAATTCCCAGTACCACCAAAAAAAAAAAAGATTGTGTTTACCAACAGGATTGTATGACAAACTAATGTGTAAAAAACTATGCAAGGGAAAGAACAAGTATTTTGGATCTCCTTGATCTTTTTTAGGCAAAAGAATGAGCTTGTGACTTATGATAAAGTTACCAGACATGCATATAGTAATTACTGAAGTACGCATGCGGTCCTTGGGCATTTCTCTACTCAGGAGCACTGCTTTTCAGCATGGACGTTTTCAAGTGTTTCCCTAGCTGATTGTTGTGTGCAAAGTTTGAGAAACAGAGCTATTTGTTTCTTGAGGGGCCAATGGGTGTTCACACTTACACAACACATACACATGTAAGTAAAGCAACATACCACAACTCTTGTCCACTCACAGACCCCTTCTGCCACTCAGAAAAAAGGAGAGCTTGAATCTTTTATAGAACTGTACAGTTTAAGACAGAAAAATGCAAGACACTCTGGAAAGCAGAAGTAAGAGCCCACAGAACAAATCCTAGTTAGGGTTATCCTGCGTTTCCCCATTTTATTTGATTATGCTGCCCGAAATGACATCATTTTTTAACTCACCTGTATTGAAAACTATCTTCCTGAAAAAATGCTAATCCCCAGAAGCCCCAGGTTCCCTTGTAAGTCTTTTGATAAGATTATTTTTCCTGCTAATAAGACAGTAGCAGGTATAAAAAACCAAGACTTCAACAGTGAGAATTAGAAGATCTGTATAAAACCCATGGAAGACATGACCAAGTGATTCAAGAACACTAAGTGTTTGAGGAGAGGTTTGCTAGTGAAAAGAGAAATACGACGACCGATAATTACAATCCCAAGCAATTCTGGGACTGTAGGAATCTATAAAGATGGTGAAGACTTCCTCCTGCTTTCTTTACCTAAGCACTACAATTTATTACCCACTCAATCTTTTTAGGCAGGCTACAACTAAATCCCTTTAAATAATGCTATATGGTAATCAGCAAGCATTTACTTCACCTGACTGAATAAACTGAAGAAGACAGCACTACGAAAGTCGTGGAGAGAAAGTATGATGACCCAATTTTAACTTGAAAACATTTTAAAATTCATACAGCTAACACTGTCCGGGTAGGCAAACGCCGTTTTAAATGTTTTCACCAAAAAAGAAAAATACAAGAGATTAATGAACTAAGCACTCATTACAAAAAAACTTAAAGTTTCCAAAAGAGAAAAAAAAAGAAGAGCAAAAATTATGGAAGGAAAAATAAACATATCTGTGCTGTAGTGCACAGCTATAATGCCAGGCATCAGAGGCTGAAGCAGGAGGAACACACACTGAGGCCAGCCTGGGTTCCATGGTTCAAGGTTAGCATGGATTGTAGTAAGACCTGTCTCAAAAAAATCAAATCAAATCAAAAAGTAAAAATCTGGTTCTTTGGGGTCCAGGGATTTAGCTCAGCGGCCTCAGCGCTCATCTGGCAAGGTTTTGAGTTCGATCCCTGCTATCCAAAAAAAAGAAACGAAATTAGAGGTATATTAATCTTACTAGTTCTTTGAAAAGGCTAGTAAGATTAATATACCTGTAATATGCCCCACAGATGTGGAGAAAAGAGGAAAAGTACAAATAGAAAAAGGCACTAATCACTGATACTAAAAGTATTTAAATGTAAGGAGATACTAATAAAAGGTTTTTGCAAGTGAGTCTGAACATCTAAGTAAGCCGGGCATGTTGACACATGCCAGTAATCTCAGTGCTTGGGAGGGTGAGGTGGGAGGAACTACCATGAGTTCAAGTCCATCCTAAACTACATAATGAGACCCTGTCTCAAACACATACGCGCACACACACAGACACACGTATGTACCAAAAAAAAAAACCCCAAAAACCAAAAAAACAGGAAAATCTGGAAAAATCTGGAAAAAAATCCTACAATATGATTCTAATGAAAACCAGCTCATTAGATTTCAAAAATAAATGCATGTGAAACACAAATAGAACCCCAAGTTTAGTGCTCGATGGAGAGTTATGTAAGTTAAATTACCACTAGTTTATGAATATTAATAACCAAACTAGTATTGAAGATTCTACTGTTCAAATACAAATCAACAGCTGGCCAATAAAAACAGGACTCTGGCACTTCTAAAATACAGGAAACTGTCGTTCATTTAATTAGCTATCAAAGTGGATCTAAAGAGGAAATAACAAAAAAAACATGGAAATACGAAGAAAATATGTACTACTAAATACGAAAAATGTCAGAATCGTAGAAACAAAGGCCCTTTGCACTTTTTAAAGTTCCCTTGAGAAACTGTAAATGACACCCCATAAAACTGCAAGTAAACACAAACTACTGTGTGCAGTTTTGAAGTACTTAAATTCCCTAAACAGATCACCAGTGTACCTAATAATCTGCAAGAAAGCTTTTAAATGTCCTGGCTGAGATCACAAAGAATTGCGGACGCTGTACTTTAAAATGTTGCCATACTCATAATAAAGAGGATACAGGGCAAAGAAGGTGATTAAATTCGTAGGCTTAACTGAAATTATATACACAAAATCAAATGAAAAGCACGGGTTCCCAAAGACGCTGAGCACCCCTACGTCCGCAGGTTCTGGGAGGCCCAGAGCCGGGGTGCCACCTGACATCCAGGGATCTGGACCCCGCGGAAGCGGCCCGCCCCCTCACACCAGCTTCTCGCAGCGCTAGGTGGAGGCCTGAGCGACCCCACCGCAAGCGCCAAGGCCCAGAGGCCGCGGAGGCGCTGCTCTGCGGAGGGGACCGGGAGGAACAGAAGTTGTCGGCCCTGGGTGTTACTGTATGCTCTGGGGGAAAACCAGGAGGACTGGGATACGCTGGCTGGGCTGAGAACCCCGGCCCGGCGGCCGCCGCGTTACTTGTGGAAATTGTCGTCCGTCTCCTCCAGGCGCAGCAGCACCTCCTCCGCGCACTCCAGGGACGGCGCGCCCGTGATCCGCTCCTTTACGCTGCGGAACAGCTGCCGGAGCATGGCCTGCAGCCGCGCCTCGTCCTCGGGACACACGCGCGCCATCCTCGCCGGGAACCCTAAGTCCAGACACACAAGCTGCGCAGGGCGCCCCCTCACTGCGCACGCGCGCCGCCACCCTGCGTGGCCCAAGCGGAGCGTCGTTGCCTAGGAGACTGCGGCGCACGCCTGCAAGTGGGGCCTCAGCCACTTCAAGCTGCTCAAAAAAGCATGGTAGCTCCAATCAGAGAAATAAGGGTCCTCTTAGGCTTCGCCTTGGATTCTCGCCGCTGCCGACCTTCAGCATCAACAGAACTCAGACTGCCTCAAATAACGGTAACAGACCTACAGCGACGCTCAGACGGGAGGGTGGACGGTGGAACTCCGTCGCATCGCGTGACGTCAGCGCATCGTCGACAGTACCTTACGTCAGTGCATCAATATGGCCTTCTTAGCGGGAAGGCGAGACTCCTAAAGAAGGCTGGGGTGAACACAAGCACGCAAACCTGGGCATCGCGGGTGCGAGGAAAAGGGATGACTCGGTAGAGGATGGAGAATAAAATTGCACTGAAATAGTCTGAAAAGCCTTTCAGATACCAAACGTGCACTGGTGAATAATGAAGTAGAAGTTTCAGCTGAAGTATAAGCAGGGTTGAAATGCTGGATCCTCACACAGCTGGCACCTGTTCAGCTCCTTTACAGGAACCGCCAGGGGACGACTTCACCATCTCTCCGAAACGGAACCCAACAGTTACAGCACGGTACTGATAGAATTCTCGGCGCGGAGGGGAACCATCTGATAGGATTTTGGCGCGGCTGAAAAGATAAGTGTGAAATATAAGAGACCTTTACTTTAAGAACGTGGGGAGAGACCCCTGACCCTCCGGCGTCTGGCATTCTCTTCAGGGCCCGGCATTCTCTCCGCCAGACACGTGGTGTGGGGGCATACATGTAGCTTAGGTTTGGGGTGTTGCCTAAGGGGCATTAGTGATGCACAGGTAGCCCATTGGTATTCATTTCGCGCCACATGTTAATTCCTAGGGGCGGGAAAGATGACCTCAAGATAGAGCCCCTTGGTTCTGCCTCCAAGGCTTTACCGGCTACAGTGTCCCTTCTGGGGCAAAACCTTTCAGTACCACTAAGCCCATGCTGGAGGAACACCGCTGTTTAGGGCCCCTGAGAATCCATGCTTGGGTTTGAATCCAATGCATAAGTGGGAGAGAAAGGAGCTGAGAACACACTGGAAACGTTCTATGTCAGGCTGAGCATGGACAACAATGGCTTTGCAGTTTCATAGGGTCAAAAAGAAGTGAGGCTAGAGTGCTCCCCTGGCCATACCTGAAAGGGCTTTGTGAGGCAATCTAAGGCACTGGAATTTATCCTGCAAGTCATGAGACACAGCTGGATTCTGGGGACACCACCATGGAATATCAGGTATGATCACACTGCAAGAAACTGCACTGGGTGATGATAGTTCCTTATCTAGTGACCAGCCCAGGTGAATCTCTACACCATAATCCTGTCCAAGTTAGGAAGAGCCAGCCAAGTTACAGCCCATACAATACTCCCACACTGCTGCTGAGGAATGGGTCAGTACAAAAGTTAATTTGCCCCGTTGAGTTTAAACTCCTAGTCCTCCGGCCTCAGCCTTACAGAATGCTGAGATTACATGCTGTGACCCACCCCATCCACTTTGTGTTTTTACTCATCCTTTAATCCCTAAGCACTATCCTGCTCCCAAGTTCCTCATATGATTGACCAAAACCTTTGGTGAAAAAACAGTACATTGAAATTTTCCTCATTTTGTTTCCACTCTTTAAGAGATTGCTCCTGGAGTCTACCCCTATAAGCCACTGTGCATGAATCCAAAATGATAAGTATGTTATGGAGTTCCATGGGTCAGTTCAATGTCATTCTGTTTTCTTAAGAAAATAAACTTCTAGCCAAGCATGGTGGCACACACCTATAACCCTAGTATTTGGGAGGGAGAGGCAGAGGATCATTGCGAGTTTGAGACCATCCTAGGCTACAAAGTGAGTTGAAAGCCAGCCTGAAAATAAAAGCCAGGCACAGACTCTGTCTCAGAAAAAAAGAAAGAAAGAAAGAAGGAAGGAAGGAGAAAACAGGAAAAGAAAAAAGAGAAAATAAGCTTCTGATCATGGCACAGACTGGTATTTCTTATGTGTATTTAATGCATGGTGGACTTTGGCCAAGGTACTGTTTGCTCCAAACATAAAACGCCAAGTTGACAGAGTCAACGACCTATATGTGGTTTTTGTGTATTTGTCTTATCTTTAAAATACATAACTGTAAGCATGGCAGGATCTTGGGACTCATGAACTTGCAGTGAGCATTCATGTATTAAATGCAAAGACCTTGGATGTAAGAAAGTACTCAATAATTTTTGGATATTATTGGCATTGTTGCCCATTTCTACAACTTTGAAGTGTACATTTTCATAGAACTTGACCAGGTTCAACTTTTACAAATTAGTAAGACAGTGAACCATTTCAAATTTTTCAATTGTTAAAATTGTTTTTTCTTTTTAGATAATAAACTGAAGTGAAACTGGGGAGACATAATTACCATATCTGTAATTGAAGGCTTCTATATTTTGGAGATCCCATGTTTTATTTATTTTTTATTTTAAATTAAAAAAATCAAGCAAAAAACAAAATGACGAAACAATGGCAATATAGGATTTCAAAACAAGATTATAGGAATTTAACAGTTGTTGTTATATTGTGTATTGTTATCCTCAAAGTAATCTCTCAGGCTACCAGATACAGGCATGCAAGATTGATCAAAAAATAAAAGTTTCCTTTGAGCAGTTTCTCTCCCTTTTACTGTATCTATTGTAACTTTTGAATCTTATTTACTCTTTCAGTTTTTACACTAGTGTTTACACTCAGTGTTTACACATGTAAGTCTGATTTATTTCACTTATTCATACAGTTTCTAAATGTGTCCATTTACCTATAAAAGCCTCAAGTTTATTGTTCTTTATAGTTGAGTAGTATTACTTATGTAGTAAAAATATCACATCTTTTTTATCCATTCCACCATTGATGGGCAGTTGGGTTGTTTCCAAGATTTAGCTATTACAAATTGTGCTGCTATAATATATCGCTGTGGTGTGATGTTTTCATTTCTTCTGGGAAAATATCCAGAAGAGAATCACCTGTTTTAGAATAGATTCTGCCTCTTCCTAGAGAGATAATCTCACTTGATTAAAAAGTAAATAAAAATAAATAATGTTTAAAAAGAAAATCACAAATTTATTGATGGAAAAGTATTGCAAAAGCCTCATGTAGTGCTTGGTCATTTATCCAAAATGTCAGTGCTTGGCTCTGAAAGTCGTCTTCTATGTCTAGAAAAAGAACTTGAATTATTATTTTTCCATATTTATTGGGCTTGCTGACTAATGCTACCTAACTTGTTGGTCTAAACAACTTTTGGAATTAGTCTGTGATCTAACCCAGCTTTGAACATGATATAGCAAAATGACCCCTCAGCACTCTGAAAGCAAACCTGTCACACATTCACTGTCCTACTTATAGGCTTGTACCAAACTCAAGATTCTTTTTCCCTCTTCTGCAGAGTTCTTCTGTGCATTTAGTGTAATAAGCTTGCTTTTGAAGTCCTCATTTCAGTACAGTTTTTTAAATGCTTTATTATGTTCTGATTTGAGGGCATATTACTACCCTACTACCAGAAGACCTTGCATCTAAAAACTGTAGAGGAGCTATTCCAGTTCTTATTCCTGTGAACACACTGTGCAGGCCACCTCATTAATCCAAGTAATACTTGGTGATCAAGTAACAGGCATTTTCAAACTTAGTTCCAATATCAGGGTTCACATATACCTTCTGTTAGTTTAGGTTACAATCTGAGCTTCTGTTAAAAGCAAGAATAAAAAGAGTAGTTTAAGAAAGATAGGTGTTCATTGTTTAGATTGGTTTTAGTCTGTTTTGTATTATTTAATTTCAATATATATGAAGTTATATATGGATAGCTATTTTGAAGAGAACAACAAACATCATGGTAGCCATTGTTGATTTTCCTATTGTCTGGTTTTGAAGGCCTGTAACACTTTCATTCTTCTGTTATGATCAGTTTTATACTATTTTGTTTTGCTTGTATTCATTGTGTGTGAATATATGGACAACTATTTTGAAGAAAACAAGAGACATTATGGTAGTAACTGTTGATCTCCTGTTGTCTTGCTTTGAAATCCTGTGTCATTTGCAGTGTTCTGTTCGGATCTGCTTTGTTCTGTTTTGTTTTACCCTCTTTAAGATAAAAATTAAAAAGACAGGTGTCCAGAGATAATCAGCTCTGCATGGTGTCAGGGAAGCTTTGCATCAACAATATTTGTTAGCTTTGCACCCAGGGTGGCTCCTCCAGCTTGCACCATTACCTCTGTTTCTCAGCCATCCTAAAAGAGAAACAGGAGTTTCATACAACTTGACATAGCCTTCTGTTGGTGTCTCATAGTAACATGAACACAAGGTAGCTGTAGAAGAAACTACACGAGGAGCCTCTGGATAAATCAAAACAAGCTCTTCAGTGACAGTCAGCAGAGGGCAGGATGAATATTAGTGGAGAACTAGCTGTCTGCCACAAATCGCAACTTTTCAATTATACACATTATTTCTAGTTGGCTAGATCAGTCATGGTTCAGGTCAGAAAGTAAAAACTAATCTGGGTGTTAAGAAATACGAATACGGGGCTGGAGGTTTAGCTCAGCGGCATAAGCCCCTGCCTTGGAAGCAGGCAGTCGTGAGTTCGATCCCCGGTACCGATAAAAAGGGAAAAGACCAAAAAAAAAAAAAAAAAAAAAAAAGAAATACGAATACATGAGTTAATGAAGTTACTAGAAAGGCAAAAGAAGAAAATTATATCTAGCCTCTAGGAATTCTCCCAGGTCACTGAAAACTGACCCTTCAGTAGAAAAGCTACTTCTGTGCCACTGTGTGACAGTGACATTTAAAAATAAGGGACAGTGGGGGCTGGGGATTTAGCTCAGCAGCGTAAGTGCCTGCCTTGCAAGCAAGCAGGAATGATTTCGATACCTGGTATCGATAAAAAGAAAAAAGACAAAAAAAAAAAAAAAAAGAATAAGGGACAATAGCTGAATTCAGTGGCAGGAAGGTGGAGTCCAGGAACTTCTATGATCAGCACAAATCCCAGTCAAAGCCCACAGACCTACTTATAGAGACTAAAATATGTCCCCTATCTTCATAGAAATTGCTTCCAAACATAAGAAGATGCTAGAGACAAAAAAGTATGGCATCCTGCTGCAAGAAGTGTCACATTTCAACACCCATGTGTTCCATCATAAACATAATGAAGAAAACTCGTAGCATTTCTACTTCCCAAATTGGATGACTCTGTTTGATTTTCAGAATCACCTTCACACCCAGAGCACAAACTACAAAATAATCTGGAAGTGTTTCTGATAGGGCCACAGCCTTCACAAAGTCTGCATCTGGAGGTAAGAAAGTCAACCTACCATTTTTACTACTGTGGCAAACAGCAGCATGTAGTCTAGAAAATAAATCTTTTGTTCATGAATATAGCTTGAACTCAGTTTAAATTCTCAGAGCTGACTAACTTGCTGAGTTCTTGTTTGACTTGTTCACCTATCCTAGCCTGAGTACAAGTTTTCATCTTTAACATTAATCTCTTGTCTCACATACCTATAATTACCCATTTTTTAAAATTACTTGAAAATATGCTTTAAAAATAAATTATATGTGTATTATTCATATTTTTTATTTTATTCCACATATGATTTCATATCCATACACATATGTAGAACCAAGAAATGTTAAGGTTGTGGAATCTAGCCCTTTCAAATTTAAAAGTATCTTTTGTCAATAAAAAATACTTCTTTCAATAAATATATAAGTCTATGAGAAAAGAATAGTAAAATTTACATACAAGCAAAATTCAACTTATTACTACATAAGAATTTATAGTTTTATACTAGCAATAATAATGAGCTGCCACATATTTCTTTGCTTTTTTGCATAAAGTATTGAATTTGATGTTTTGATATATGCATGAACCTGTAAAATCACTTCATAATCAAGATAATGAAGTCACTTGTTACCCTCAAAAGCTTCCTGGAATTCTGTCATAACCCTTCACTTCCGTCCCTCCTCACTCTTTCTCTACCATCTGCAGCCACTCAACTACTTTATTACAGATTTGTTTGCATTTTTATAGATAAATACGATCATATAGTATGTATTAGCTTGACTTCCTGTTTAAAAGCACCATAAGGATCATGAAATTTGCTCATATTTTGTATGCATACTTATATTTCATTGCTTAGTAGTATTCTAGCATTTGAATATACCACAAATTGTTTATCTGTTTACTTGTTGATAGAAATTTGAGGTTGTGCATACTTCTTGGCTATTAAAGTATTACATATTTCTAAGAAGATTTTCAGTATTCTAAACAATTTTTTAAATAAACACACGTAATTGATGTGTTCATATAGTGTGACTGAAAGCTCAAAACAAAGTAATTCTATAATAGGACAATTGATGCTCTACTTGACACTGGTCGTGAATTTCAAGATTCATTCATTCCCTGATTAGCCCAAGTGCTGGTGACCAATGAAGAGACAGGATTAAGGAACCTTTGAGTAGTTAATTCTCAAAAATATCTGATTATTTAGATATAGATATTAAAGACCAAAATTATACATTATAGTAGACAAATGAGACATCACGCAGGCAATGGGTTCACTGAAGCAGCAAAGACAGCAAAACTTATACTGCTGCCCTGAGTCACACACCATGGCAAGTTTCAGGGGACTATCCAACTGTGCTTCTCCTTTCCAAAACCATATTAGAAAGCTTCTCCTTTTGTCAACCCCAAAATTGCAGATATATGCAGTGAGCAAGCCTGAGCCAATCAGCTGCTGTCATGTAGAACTGGTTAATAACCTGGTATGGTAACTTGGTATTGTGGTAATGTAACTGAAAATGCCTGCCATCTTCTCTGTTGACCACTCGGGATGATAGCTTATTACAGGAATTGTTTTAGAGATGGGGTTTCCCTACATTGCGCAGGCTTGATTCAGACTTCAGGACTCATGATCCTCCCACCTCAGCCTTGTGAGTAGCAGGGACTTCAGGCATATGCAGGGTGTTTGTTTAAATCACAAAAGCACAGACACATCAGTTGAATGGTGAAAAGTAAGTGAGCAGAACCATGGGAAAAAAATGGCATCACAGCTATGCTCATAAATCACCAAATATAGACATCTAATACACATAACCTCTAGCCTCCAGTTTTATAAAAGCTACCTGAACTCAAGATTACGCAAATTTAAGTAACTTTTTATTCCTACTTTTTTCCTAAACTAGTTTTATAACACCAATCCTAGGGAAAATTATTCTTTATATATAATTTTATTGAAATTCCATTGCTTACAATGTATACTTAAAAGCAAATAAATACAAGTAGCCATACAGTTATTGTTTTCATTGTGAATTTTTAATAAGACTGGTAATCCTTAAAGTTGCTTTCCTTTGGGATATTTTAAACTTAATCTCTAGTGATAAAAGAAGCAAATTATTTTACAAAATAATTCTCTAATTATTAAAAATTCAAATTAGCCATAAAACCCAATTATAAACAGAAAAAACTCAAATATATATGATGAAAATAGATGTGAAGGCCTTAATTTCAATCTCCAGGACCTGGGGGAAAATAACTGTCAACATTTCAAACCTTCAAAATTAGCCAAGTTTCAGAAGAAGAAAAAAATATACATATATACCTGTGGATAAATAACAGGCAGTGAAATAATTAGTCAACAGTGCTGCTAGAATAAAATCTTCCTGGAAAGGAAACTGACAAATACCAATAACATTCGAATCAGCAACTCCATTTCTTAGAATCTACTCAAGGGTCAAAGATGCAGCTGATGATTTATTATAAGGATGTTCATAGGTGCATTATTTGTAACATTACAACACTGGAAACTTTCTAAATATTTCACAACAGACTTATGCTATATTCTAATAATATGCTAATAATGCCAGCTACTCAAAATCTTAATGTGAATGATTATTTTTTTATTTGATTTTAAAAAGGGTAAAAGTAAACATAACAAAGCAAATCAGAAGAAAATGTGACAGATTTCAAAGCAAGACAACAGGAGATCTACAGTGGCTACTGTAATGTCTTTTGTTTTCTTCTAAATAGTTGTCTATATCTTCACCCACAATGAATTCTTACAAAACAAAATAGTATAAAACTGATCAGAATAGAGTAATGAAGGCATTAAAGGCTTTCAAAACCAGACAATAGGAAAATTAACAATGGCTCCATAATGTCTGTGGTTCTCTTCAATATAGCTTTGTGTATGTTGAAGTTAAACAAAACAAAACAGACTAAAACAACTCTGAACAATGAATAAAAGCATTACTGGATTTCACAGCATCAAGATACAGAATCAGCAGTGGATACCGTAATGTCTTTTTCTTCGAAGTAGCTGTTCATTTCATCACACATCAGATAATCAATTCTCATAAACTGTTTCGGAGAGGTTCTAGGCATGTAAAAGTCTCCACATGTGTACCTGTCCTTTCTGTATTAAAGGGAAAAATAAAACAAAACAAAGGAAAGTAAAACAGATAACTAGAAAAACAAGAAACAAAAAAGACAAATAACTAAAAATAGCAAAGAGCCCAAAATGATGATATAGGCCTTCAAAATAAGGTGGTAGGAACATAACTAAGATTGTTATTTTACATAGTGATCTTCAAGAATTCCTTAGATCCCCAGATATAAACATGCAAAATTGTTCTAATCCTATAAATGTTAACTGTGGTGTTGAACATTTTTTCATGTATTTATTTGCCATTTTTATTTCATCTGAGAACTGTGTATTCATTTCAGATGCCCATTTTTGAATTGGGTCTTTGAATTTTGAGGGTCTGATTTTTTAAAATTCTTTTTACATTCTAGACAGAAGTCCTTTGTCTGAGGGACAGTTGACTAAGATTTTTTTCAAAATTTATAGGTTTTCTTTTAACTCAGAGATTTCTTTTGACATGCAAAAACTTTTTAATAAGATGAGATCCCAGTTATTAATTCTGGGAAGTAGTTCCCATGCGATTTGATTCCTGTTCATGAATTCTCTACCTACCCCTATATCTTCAAGATTTTTACCTACTTTGTCTTCCAGAAGATTTAGTGTTTCTGTTTTAATATTTAGATCTTTGATCCATTTTGACTTTAGTTTAGTACATGGTGATCGGCATGGGTCTAGTTTTAATTTTCAGCATATGGAGAGCCAGTTTTTCCAGCACCATTTATTAAAGAGACTGTCGTTCTTCCAGTGAACATGTTTGGCCCCTTTATCAATGATAAGGTGACGGAGTATGTTTGTATTTGTAGTTGTATCTTCGAATCTATTCCATTGATCTTCAGGTCTATTTTTACTCCAGTACCATGCTGATTTTATTACAGTAGCTGTGTAATATAACTTCAAGTCAGGGCTTGTGATGCCTCTTGCCTTGCCTATGTTGCTCAGAACTGCCTTTGCTATTCTAGGTCTTTTCTGGTTCCAGATGAATTCTAGAAATTATTTCTTTAGATTTGTGAGCTATGCTAGTGGTTTTTCATTGGAATTGCATTAAATCTGTAAAACAATTTTGGGAGAATGGCCATTTTCACGATATTTATACTTCCTACCCATGAACAAGGAATGTCTTTCTATTTCCTGAGATCGTCTTCAATTTCTTTTTTAGTGTATTATAATTTTCCCTGAATAGATCTTTTACTTCTTTTGTTACATTGACTCCTAAGTATTTCATTGGGGGGGGGGGATGCTGTTGTGAAGGGAGTGGCTTCTCTTATTTCTCTCAATAAGTATGTTGTTTGTGTATAGGAATGCTATTGATTTTTGAGTGTTGACTTTTCATCCAGCTACACAATTGAATTTAGTTATTATATGTAGGAGTCTTTCAATGGAATTTTGGGGGTCTTCTATGTAGGTATCATGTCATCTGCAAATAATTATAATTTAAATTCTTCTTTTCCTATCCTTACTCCTTTTATTTCTCTCTTGTCTAATTGCTCTAGTATTTGCAGCACTATATTGAATAGGAGTGGTGATACTACACATCCTTTTATTATTCCTGATTTTACAGTAAAGGCTTTCAGTTTTTGCCCATTTAATATGATGCTGGCTGTTGGTTTGTCATAGATGGTGTTTATCAGATTGAAGTAAAGACCATCTATTCCAGTTTTCTGTAAGATTCTTACCATGGGTGTTGGATCTTATCAAAAGCTTTTTCTACATCTGTAGAAATGATCATGTGATTCTTATTTTTGGCTCTGTTGATATGGTGATTACATTTATTGATTTGTGTATGTTGAATCATCCTTGCATTTCTGGAATGAATCCCAGATAGTGTATAATCTTGATGATTTGCTGCGTTGTTTGCCAATATTTTATTAAGAATTTTTACATCTATTTTCATTAGGGAAATTGGCCTGTAGTTCTCTTTTTTGGTTGGGTCTTTCTCTGGTTTTGGTATTAGAGTAATACTTGTTTCCAGGAATGACTTAGGGAGAACTGCTTCTCTTTCAGTTTCATTGAAGAGTTTGAGGAATGTCAGCATTAAGTCTTCTTTGAATTTCTTTTAGAAATCTGCAGTGAATTCATCTAGATCTGGGCTTTTCTTTGTTATTAAGGTTTTAATTACATTTTCAGTTTCATTAATTGAAATTGGGTTATTCAGCACTTTTACAACTTCTTGATCCAGCTTTCAAAATCCTCATGTTTCTAGGAATCTGTCCATTTCTTCTGTGTTATCAAGCCTATGAGAGTAGAGGTTTTTGAAATAGATATTGATGATCTTCTGTATTTCCACAGGGTCTGTGGTGATTTCACCCTTTTCATTCCTTATTGCATAAATGAGTTTTTTCTTTCCTTTTTTAAATATGACTGGCTAGGGGCTTATCAATTTTATATATTCTTTCAAAAAACCAACTCTCTGATTCATTGATTCTTTGTATTGTTTTCTTAGTTTCTATTGCATTGATTTCTGCTCTTATCTTTATAATTTCCTACCTTTTTCTGGCTTTGGGCTTGACTTGCTCTTCTTTCTCCAGATGTTTGAGGTGTAGCATCAGGTTCTTTTTTTGTGTGTTTGTTGTGTTTTCTTAATATAGGGTTTCACCAGAATAAATTTTCCTCTAAGGACTGATTTCATTGCATCCTATAGGTTCCGGTAAGTTGTATTTGTATTTTCATTTGCTTGTAGATATTGTTTAATTTCTTTAGTTTCCTCTGTGACCCACTGATTGCTCAAGAGTGTATTATTCAATTTCCATATGTTTGAGGTTGCAGTTTCTTTTGTCATTAACTTCTAGTTTCATGGCACTATGACCCAATAACATGCATGGGATAATTTCATTTCTTTTGTATTTACTTAAGCATGTTCTGTGGGCTAGTATATGGTCTATTTTAGAGAATGTCCCATGTAATTCTGAAAAGAATGTCTATTCTGATGTTGGGTGGAACACTGTATACATCCACTAAGTCCATTGGTTCACAGGTGTGATTCAGTTCTGTTATTTCTTTGCTGATTTTCTGTCTGGTTGATCTGACTCTTGGTGTCAATGAGTTGTTAAGGTTTCCTGTCATAATTGTGTTATTGTTTATTTGATTTTTCATTTCTGTTAATATTTGTTTTGTATAGCTGGGTGCTCCCAAATTTGGTGCATATATATTTAATATTGTTACCTCTTCCTCTTAAAGTTTTTCCCTAACTAGTATGTAGTAACCT